CCGGGCGCGCCGCCCCCCCGCCAGCCGCAGCACAAGGGAGGCGGGGGAGGTGCCGCTAGGGGCCAAGCTCCCGCCCCGATCCCTCTTTCGCGGAGAACCGAGCGCACGCGTTTTAATTACTGCAGGACCCCCCTCTGGCTGAGTAATTAACAAGGTAGGCAGCTTGTTTGGGTAGCGGGGGCACAGTGCGGGAGAGGCCAAAGATGCTGGCCACAAGGCAAGAACTGGCCCATTGATAAGGGATATGGCAACTCCTACAAGTTTTTCTCCTTACCCAAGTGAAGGCAGCCGGCCGCAGTTAAAATGACCCGACCTACAGCGCGCCCTGCACCCTCCGGCTCCCGGATACCAAGGATCGAGTAGGACTAGCATCAGGGCTGGCCTGCCTGTGAGATAAAGCCAGTACTAGCCCTCTCACCACCTAGTCCTCTGTGGTAGGATGGGAAGTCACTCTCTCACTGAGCTTTCGCTCACACCACCGTTTACTGCTGTGTAACCATTTCTCCAAAATACTTATTGGGAGAGAGATTGAAATCCTCCTTAAAGCCATCATAAAAGCCTTACCTGCCTAAAGGGGAGCAGAACTATCCCAATTTGGGAGCAGGAGAGCAGTAACATCCTTCGGAAAAGGCTGAGAGAAGCAAAGAGCTGGGGTGTATTTTCAATAGGGCTGCAATCTTACCAAGGGGATCGTGAACAGGACAGAACAGTTATAGAGCCCACCACAGCAGCAGGATTGGAGGGTTTTTAACAAAGTTTTTTTTTTTTAAATCAGGTATTTCTAAGGCTAGCATTACAAGTGTACCATCCCACTAGCACAGAGGATAACTCCCAAATGCTAATCAGCTAATTAAAAACTAAACCACAAAAAGAAAACAAAATTAAGTGTTTCCTGCACCCACTTCTAGGATAGATTCCTGCCATGGGAAGTCTCACTGCAGCAGAGCTCCTGTCCCTAAAGAATAAGGCAGAGTACAGCTACACCATACAGCAAGTCCAAGGTCAACAGCCAGGCTATGTCTACATTGGCGTGATCTTGCGCCAGAGCTATGCAAATGAGGCTAAGTGGAATATTGCCGAGCCTCGTTTGCATATATAAGGAGCACCCACTTTTGTGGAAGAGGATCTTGTACAAGGAGCTGTCTACACGGCCCCTTCTTGCGCAAGAAAAACCCTCTTGCCCAATGCCGTTATTCCTGAAAATAATCAGCGTAGCGGCATTGCGTAAGAGGGTTTTTCCTTGTGCAAGAAGGGGCAGAGTAGACAGCTCCTTCTTGCGCAAGAGCCTCTTCCACAAAAATGGCAGCTAATATATGCAAATGAGGCTCGGCAATATTCCATGCTTAGCCTCATTTGCATAGCTCTGGCGCAAAATCGCGCCAGTGTAGACATAGCCCTAGAGTGCCAAGGCAATCCAGTAGCAGGAGCAACTGTATGCCCCAGAAGGTGCCAGGTACAAGTGTGGCCAGGTATTGCAGCCCTCACTTTGAGCACTAAGGCAATCCATTCCTAAAGACCAAACTCTCTCAGCAGGGAAAGCTCAAACTGCACAAGGGCCTGAACTCAGCCACGAAGGGCAAGATGGATCCTAGATGAGACTAAAGGCTTCAGAGCATGATTACTAGCACTAAATCCAGCTCCAGCCTTGAGTGAGGAAGGTATGTGGGAGCTGTCAGGCTGCTCTCAACACCGTGATTTGTAAATGGCCTCCCTCCCTCTGCTTCCTGTCTTATCCTTTTCTTCAGGGACCGGAGCCCAGCACCACGGTTTCCTGCACTAGCTGTAGTGGGCTATGCTTTGATGAAGGCTCTCCCAGTTGGTGTCAGGAAGTTAGGTTCATTCAACCATCAATAGCACCAAGTCCCAGCACTCGTGTTTGTGGGTAGCTCAAGCTGTTAACCATAACATTTTACTCTTCTCAGCACTAGCTGCCCAAGCAGGCCTTTTGTTAACCTGATAGGATTCCCTAGGCCTACATCTCCCAATACATGGCCACTACCACAGCAGATGCAGACCATACATGTGCCCACACACACACACACACTCTCTCTCTCTCTCCTCCGCCTTCCCCCCCTCTCTTGGAAAGCAAAGACATGACCAAGGATACCCAACCCCTGCTCTGCCATGTTCTGGAAGAAGCTCCTTAGTTAGCCACGATCCAGAAGTGAGTAGCAGTCCTGTTTCAAGGGTGATGGACAACTGACAGCAAAGGGGCAGAGGGGTGGCTACCACTGCCATCAGGCAAAGCTTTCAGAGGCTGGGGAGTTAATGAAGTCTGGCTCATGCTAAGGAGCAAAAGCCAGTCGAGATTCCTGGCAGATGGCAATCTTAGAAAATGTTTTCCCAAACTAGTTCGTCCAGCCACACAGAAGCTACAGCATCCTAAGTGTCACCCCACCACCCACCCCTGTGCTGGTTTGTAATACCCACTGGCTACGTCTACACTGGCATGATTTTCCAGAAATGCTTTTAACAGAAAAGTTTTCCGTTAAAAGCATTTCTGGAAAAGCACATCTAGATTGGCAGGACGCTTTTCCGGAAAAGCACTTTCTCTGGAAAAGCGTCCGTGGCCAATCTAGATGTGCTTTTCCGCAAAAAAGCCCCGATCGCCATTTTCGCGATCGGGGATTTTTTTCGGAAAACAGAACTATGCTGTCTACACTGGCCCTTTCGGGCAAAAATCTTTTGGAAAAAGACTTTTGCCCGAACGGGAGCAGCATAGTTTTTCCAGAAAAGCACTGATGATTTTACATTAGATTGTCAGTGCTTTTCCGGAAATTCAAGCGGCCAGTGTAGACAGCTGGCAAGTTTTTCCGGAAAATCAGATGATTTTCCGGGAAAACTTGCCAGTGTAGACACAGCCACCATGTTAATAGCAGTAGCCAGTTCTTTGCTCCATAGATCCACCTGCAGAAGTTTCTGATACTGTGTGCTTTGCTCAGAAGAGGGAGAGCTGGATCTTTTGCCTCCCCCTCATGCCCTCCTTTAATTAGTCAGCTTTTGTTGAACTCCTCATTCATATTGTGTGTGAGTGGAGGCAGAGATTGTGCAGGAACTGTACCCATCCCCGCTTGCCCCAATTCACTAGCAGTAGAGAGGTAGATAAAGAAACAGACAAATGGAATACAGTAGGGCAAATAAAGAGTTCCAAGGTCTTCAGGGGTTCTGATTTTATTTACACTGCAACCTCTAGGCTGACGAACAGGGAGTTTCAGTGCTCAATAACTTACCTTACACTGTACAGTATTTGATCTTTTTAGAAAAAAATAGTAAATAGGACGGACCCGAATCTCGTCCTGCATGGAGAGGCCTTTAGCTGGGAGAAGGCTGCAGGGGTCTGTGCAGTAGGTAAGTTTGGTAAAAGCTTGTGTGCAAGCCCAGAACAAGGAGCAAGATCTTGTCCCTGGCTAACAGAATAAGGGGCCACTGTGATCCAAACAGCACAAGCCCTTGGCTCTTACTGACTGCAGCTTGAGGAAAACCAACCCAACCCCTTTCAAGGGTTTACAAAGGACCTTAGCAAGAAGTAGGACTCTTGCAGCAGCAGCATAAGCCTCCCCACTCTTTAGCAGGACAGGGATAGCAGCATGGGGTCAGGCCGGGAAGAAAGTATGACAAGTAAAAATGACTGAAAAGCCAGGTGGCGGTAGTTCCTCCCCACAGAGGCACTGAGAGGCCTTTCCCACTACCTCCAACGGTTTAAGTTAAAATTGGAGAGTCTAAACTCCATCCTGCTTCTCAGCAGAGAAACAGCTCAAGGTGCAACAGGCGGCAGCAGCACTCAAGCCCAGCGTTCCCAGCACCAACCCTCTGCTAGCAGCAGTGGCTGGCTGAGGTAGGCAGCACTGGGCAAGTGACAGAAGAGGGGAAGTGCTCAGCACAGACAATACTCCACTACTGCGCCCTTCCCCTCCCCCCACAGCTTTAGACTCTCCCCCCCTCACTTGGCTGTCCATTCACCCCTGCCCAGCAGAGGCCTAGTGCAGCTCTGGAGGCAGGACAGAGGGAGGGCTCATCCTATACCCAGCAAGCACCTTTGCTGTTCTCAGGGAAGGGTAACCCAGATGGCAGAGCAGACAGTCCATGGGGTGCAAGTGGTGTCCTCACTGCTCCACCAGGCACCTTTCAGATAGATATTGAGGCTGCTGCACTTCCCCACCCCCAGTCAGCTCTCACAGAGTTTAGGTGCCTCCTTTATAGAAAGCCCTCCTTTCGGAACTGTTCTTGCAGGATGTCCCTGTACTCATCGAAGCCACCCTCGATGCGCGTCACAGTAGCGTTCTCACACACCCACAACTCCTTGCACACCAGGCGAATGAAGCACTCATCGTGGGACACCAGGATCACACCGCCCTGAAATTGAGGTGCGAAGAGAACACGTTTTACACCAGAGGGGCAAGAAACTGGTGCAACAGGAAACAGAGCAGCTTGAAGTAGCTGCTTGAATATTATGGGGAAGGGCAATGAGTCTTGTTAAATCTGCTGATCGCACGGCTTAGGAACCAAGACATTCAAAGAGCTGCCAACACCAGAGGGGTGGCCTGAGTATAGCGCTTGGCCTATTGTGGAGATGCAGGCCCCAAGTCCAGGCACACAAAACAGCATCATACAAGCGTAAGGCTAGAAGAGACCTCAGTAAGTCATCAATTCCAGCCCTGGAGAAGGACCAAGTCAACTTAGATCATCCCTGACAGGTGTTTTCCAACCTGCTCAAAAGCCTCTACAACCTCCTTTGGAAGCCCATTCCAGATTTCAAGTTGGAAAGCATTTTTCACTATTTAACCTAAGTCTCCCTTGCTGCAGATTAAGCCCATTGCTTCTTGTCCTACCTCTGAAGGACACAGAGAACAATTGATCACCTACCTCTTTATAGCAGCCCTTAACATATCTAAAGACTGTTAGGTCCTCCCTCAGTCTTCTTCTCTCTAGTCTAGCCTAAACAGGCCCAGTTTTTTCACCTCATGGGCCAGGTTTTCGACACTCTTTAGGACTCTCCCCAATTTGTCCATTTGTCCATGGCTCTCTGGACACAGTACTTCAGCTGAGCATGGTACTCACTGGCACAGAGTTAACTCCCGTGTTTTATACGTGCCACTCCTGGTAATACAGCCCAGGATGCTATTAGCATTTCCATAACCGCATCACATTATTGACTTTCAATTTGTGACCCACTAGAACGCCCAATCCTTGTCAGCAGTATGACCTTCTGCGTTATTCCCCATTTTATAGTTGTGAATTTCATTGCTCTTTCCTAAGAAGTGAAGGTGCAACAGGAAACAAGAGCAGCTTGAAGTAGCTGCTTGAATATTATGGGGAAGGGCAATGAGTCTTTGCATTTATCTTTACTGAATTTCGCCTTGTTGATTTCAGACCAATTCTTCCATTTGTCAAGGACATTTTGAATTTTAATCCTGTCCTTCAGAGTGCTCACAAGCCCTCCCAGCTTGGTGTCACCTGCAAATGCTAGTCGCACACTCCACTCAGACTCATAGACTTTAAGGTCAGAAGGGACCATTATGATCATCTAGTCTGACCCCCTGCACAGTGCAGGCCACAAAATCTCACCCACCCCTCCTAGAATAATCCTCTCACCTATATCTCAGATATTGAAGCCTTCAAATACTTTGAAGACCCCAAGATGCAGAGCATCCTCTAGCTGTGATCTGTACCCCATGCTACAGAGGAAGGCGAAAAGCCTCCAGGGCCTCTGCCAATCTACCCTGGAGGAAAATTCCTTCCCGACCCCAAATATGGCAATCGGCTAAACCCTGAGCATGTGGGCAAGACTCATCAGCCAGACACCCAGAAAGTTCTCTATAGTAACTCCTATCATCCCTCCATTGACCTATTTCCCACTGATAATGAATGGTCAATTAGTTACCAAGATCATGTTATCTCATCAAACCATCCCCTTCCTAAACCCATCTAGTTTAATCTTGAAACCAGATAGATCTTTTGCCCCCACTACTTCCCTTGGAAGGCCGTTCCAGAACTTCACTCCTCTAATGGTTAGAAACCTTCGTCTAATCTCAAGTCTAACCTTCCTACTAGCCAGCTTATATCCATTTGTTCTTGTGTCCACATTGGTATTAAACTTAAATAATTCCTCTCCCTCCCTGGTATTTATCCCTCTAATATATTTAAAAAGTGCAATCATGTCCCCCCTCAGCCTTCTTTTGGTTAAAGTAAACAAGCCAAGCTCCTTGAGTCTCCTTTCATAAGACAGGTTTTCCATTCCTCAGATCATCCTAGTGGCCCTTGTTTGTACCTGTTCCAGTTTGAATTCATCCTTCTTAAGAAATAGCAATATCGACTAATTTCTAGACCCAGGAGTGTTTGTCCCCTGTGGGCCCCACTGGATACATCCTCCCACTTCGTGTCAGTCCAACTGCTAGGCTGCATCACATACTGGAACCGCTGGTCTCCATCCAGAATGGGCCCACTGGCAACTCCCTATTTTACCCGGCACAAGTAGGCAGGAAGGACAAGGGTGGTGGTGGAACGGGGAACTAAAACTACTTCCAGCCTGGCTTGAGACCCTCACCTTTCCTCCCTGGAGATACGGGCCAAGTCTGGCAGGGCAAATGCACAGTCTGGGCAGGAGTTGTGCATGCAGTGAGAAAGGCCTTGACTCTGGTTTTTCACTTGTCAGCGTACAGCTAGTTTGCCACTGGCCATCCAGGCTCATGGCAAGACTCAGCCATTGCCTTCAGCTTTGGCCAAACAAGTTGTAGCTTCTCTTGAGGCAGGACAATTTTGAGTTAACATATCAAGTTATTACTGTAAACAAGGGACTGTGATGGGCCATCTCAGGCTGGCAAACAGTTCATATCCATGAAGACACCACATGATGTGGCACCTTCGCCTAGGATTGGAACAGTAAGATGTGCTAGAGGCCAAGCTGAGGTGAGCTGGCAGAGCTGCGATATATCCTAAACGAGAAGAGGGGGTGCTGCGTCCAGACACTCAGAGTTGGGGAAGGAGTTTCTTTCTGACTAGCTCCTGCCTGTCTGCCACTTTCCTAGGCACTCAGTCTGAAGCGATGACAGGAAGCACAGTCAAGGTGGGAATTCACCATGTTGCCATTGGCCAGCTTAATTTGGAGCCACCTTAACTATGCTTAGTGGCTGCCATTAGGCTGGGATGCTGAAGCACCACAAAACAGGAGGCTGCAGGGATCACCTGACCCAGGAGAACCTTACCCGGAATTTATTCAATGCTTTTGCCAGAGCCTCGATGGTCTCCATGTCCAGATGGTTTGTCGGCTCATCCAGGATATAGAAGTTGGGACTGGAAAGAGAAGAAAGAATCAACAACTTTGCATCCCACTGGAAGAGGCCAGCACAGAATCCACAGTGCAGTCTCATTCTGGCATTACCATTAAAAACAACAGGCCCGTTAGTGGGGTATAGTAAGATGAGGGCCTAAAACATAAGCCCATGCAGTACAGGCCTGGTTTGAGGCCTGAGGCATTGTTAACAATGGGCAAAACATGGCTAACATAAAGCAAAGCTAAGCTGTGAGCAAGAGACCCCAGCTCACAGAACTTGATATGAACAGGGCTGAGAGTACAAAATACTAATTGGTGCTAGGTACTGACTGCAGAACAATAATTGGTATTGGTCATAAGTGGAAAGCACATAATCTCACTAGCTCATTAAAAAAGACCTTGGTACCCACGCCTCACAGATACAGACTCAGGTTCAAGAAAGGGTCTAAAATGACAGAATGATGGATAGAGATGATCTAATCAAACCACGAGGTACAGGGAGATGGGTGGTATCTAAGTAATGTCAGAGGGTGGTAACCTGACAACGTCAGAGGGTGGCAACCTGATGTGTCAGCAGTGAGGTGTGACTTGTACCTGTACAGAAAGTGGTGTCTTGGGGGGACAGCCTTTGAATGACCTAAGAGGCAGTGGGACCTCCCACTGATTAAGTCATTCCATTGTGGCAAGTACAAATACATAGTGGTTCAGTAGAGTCTACTGACAACTATGTCTGTTCTTCACTCTACAATAAACCTGGCCTGGCACCTTCGTTGGGTCTTTGAGGGCTCTCTTGGGGTCTGCTGTGGAGACTAAGTGCACAAGTCTACACGGCACACATCACTGAGCGCACACACACAAGCAGCCTTCGGGTTATCAACGGAGCCAGAGACCTGTGAGGACACCTCGGCAGTAAACCCTGACCAGTCGCCCTCCCTGAAGAACTACATGGGGCTAAAGAGCAAGGACTCGCTGGACAGGAGAGCCCAGCATATTGGGGTGATGCTGCTCAGAATGTGCTAGCAGGTGTCTCCCTCACCTAAGGTTCTTAAGTAAAGTAAGTTGTCATGGGATAAGAGGGAAGATCCTCTCATGGATTGAGAACTGGTTAAAAGACAGGAACCAAAGGGTAGGAATAAATGGGAAGTTTTCAGAATATAGAGAGGTAACTAGTGGGGTCCCTCAGAGGTGCGTACTGGGACCAATCCTATTCCACCTATTTATAAATGATCTGGAGAAAGGATAAACAGCAAAGTGGCAAAATTTGCAGACGATACTAAACTGCTCAAGATAGTTAAGACCAAAGCAGACTGTGCAAGCTTCAAAAAGATCTCACCAAACTAAGTGATTGGGCAACAAAATGGCAAATGAAATTTAATGTTGATAAATGTAAAGTAATGCACATTGGAAAAAATAATCCCAACTATATATACAATATGAGGGGGACAAATTTGGCTACAACTACTCAAGAGAGAGATCTTGAAGTTATTGTGGACAGTTCTCTGAAAACATCCACTCAATGTGCAGCAGCAAACAATGTTAGGAATCATTAAAAAGGGATAGAGAATAAGACAGAGAACATCTTATTGCCTCTATATAAAACCATGGTTCACCCACGTCTTGAATACTGCACACAGATGTGGTTGCCTCCTCTCAAAAAGGCTATATTGGCATTGAAAAAGGTTCCAAAAAGGGCAACAAAAATTATTAGGGTTTTGGAACGGGTCCCATATGAAGAGAAATTACAAAAAGACAGGGACTTTTCAGTTTAGAAAAGAGGAGACTAATGGAGGCTATGATAGAGGTTTATAAAATGACGACTGATACGGAAAAAGTAAATAAGGAAAAGTTATTTACTTGTTCCCATAATATAAGAACTAGGGGTCACCAAATAAAATAGATAGCAGGTTTAAAACAAACAGAAATTTTTCTTCACACAGCACAGTGTCAACCTGTGGAACTCCTTGCCAGAGGATGTTGTAAAGGCCAGGAATTTAACAGTGTTCAAAAAAGAAATAGATACATTCCTGGAGGTTAGGTCCATCAATGGCTGTTAGCCAGAATGGGAAGGAATGGTGTTCCTAGCCTCTGTTTGTCAGAGACTGGAAATGGGTGACAGAAGAGGGATCACATGATGATTACCTGTTCTGTTCACTCTGTGGTGTAGTGTAAGTTCCTTGCTGGTTGCTATGCTTGGGCTGTGGGTGACCCCCACGGGCAGCTGTCTGTAAGCATGGCCCAGCAGGGGGTGCCTTACCGCCCCAGAGCAGTGGCTAAAACCAGTTCTACAAGTTAAGGGAAGAGGCTGAACAAAGGAAAGTCAGTCTGGGGCTGGAATCATGAAGGAACCAGTCTGAGGAGAGGGCTGGAATCCAGGGGCCTAGGGACCCCATCTCAAGGGGTCTGAAATATCCTGGCCCAGATTCCTGTAAACACATCACATCCCGGCTAGCGGAGTCTGTTCTTGCGGCTACGGGTCTGCAGGAACGGGGGAACCCCGACTGCGTCGTCACACACTCCCTCTGGGCACCTGGCATTGGCAACTGTTGGTAAACAAGATACTGGGCTAGATGGACGTTTGGCCTGACTCAGTATGGCCATTCTTATGTTCACAGAAGTGTCTCTAGTTGAGACTCAGATTCCTAAGTATTTGCTTGGCCCAGTCCCATGGTGTGGGCTTGAGACACACCTATGTCCCCAGAAGCGTGACTGTCGACTGACTCTAGTAGGATAATGATAGGAGCAACCTGCACAACTCCCTCAGGGTGACCATGCTTCTCCAGAAAGCCCCAGATGACTGGTCTCCTGCTCAGCCAGAGCCAGCAGACAATTTTCAGCATCTCTGCTTCCTCCTCCACACAAACAGGCCCTAGGGACCGAGCCACGTCACTAAGAGCAGCAGGAGCAGTGCATGGGAGATTACCAAGGCATGGTCATCTGGGCAAATGCCACTCGGCTCTTCTGACCTCCTGACAGGCTAGCAACAGGGCGGACGGCCAGCTCTCCCGAGACTCCATAGCTTCCCAGCTGGTGCCGATACTCCTCCTCAGTCTTCCCTGGAACAGCACATAGGGAGATCATCACAACCCAGCCCTGGCCTGTTGGCATTAACCCCCAAGATACCAACTCAGAACCTCCAGGCAGCCGGGAGTCACACAAGGCCCTGTGTGCTCTGTAGCAGTCTGGACATAGAATCTACAGTGCTCAAGTATAGCAGCAGGGAAATGCAGCAGCAAGATGGCAGAAATTCAGAGGCTTCAACATGAACCTTAGTGACACAATAAGGACAGGGGCTCTCACGTACTGACAGCTGAAATTCAAGTGACACTCCCTGAATTCAGTGCCACATATTTTTATTTAACAAAACTCTATCATACAGGAGGAGAAAGTCAGAGGTTTTGGCATTGGGGAGAGGAGCCATCAAGGCTTTTGCTGCTAAAACAATCACCAGCAAAATAGTCTGCAATGTGTAACTCTGAAACCTAATGACAAGATAGCAGCTCTCAGAGATTAACAGGGCTTTTCCTGTCCCAGGGCTCACTTCAAGCTGTCTGCAGTGAGACATCCCTGCAGCACTCACATTACAAAACTCTTCAAACCAGGTATCAGAGTGACTACAGCTTCCACGAGGCAGGGAAATATCAGGCAAGGGAAAGGAATGGCCCCAGAGCACTGCGAGAGGTGACTGGTTCTCTATGCAGGAGCTCCTAGCTGCCTCAAGGGGAGGCCTCCCCAAAACTAAGTGCTGCTTTGTTCAGCAGAGGGTGTCACATGCCAGCCTCACTTGGCCCAGGAGGCAAGACATCCAATGCAGATCTCACCTGGTACCAGGCTCCCAGACTAGCCCAGGGTCATGCCCATGGAAGCCTGAGGCTCACCTGGGAACTTCTTGGCCAATAACTCCACAGCACTGATGTTTAAGTCCAGCTGGTCCACATGGTGCTGACTGAAGTAGCCAATCTTCAGGTTCCTGCCAAGCCACAGCAGAGAAGTCATTATAGGTAATGCTACCCAGGGCTCCTCTGACTCTACTCACTTGCCGCCAAGAGCCAGACAGAGGCTTGCAGGAAGAGAAGGTGTGTGCCTGAGTGATTTCTTTGGCGGAGAGGGAGGAGAGGAGATGCCTCTCAGGGTTTGTGGGTCTTGCTGCTCCATAACAGCTCAGAGCTCTTGGCTGTTAAGTCTTAGTTATTGGTAACTGCAGAAACATGTGAATGCAGATGCCCCAAGCCCCCAGAGATACTGGGTGGCAGCCCTGGGGCAGGAGCAGCCTCTCTCAGGGTATGTCTACACTACCCTCCTAATTCGAACTAGGAGGGTAATGTAGGCATCCCGCACTTGCAAATGAAGCCCGGGATTTGAATTTCCCGGGCTTCATTTGCATGAAGCCGGCCGGCGCCATTTTTAAATGCCGGCAGTTCGAACCCCGTGCCGCGCGGCTACACGTGGCACGGAGTAGCTAGTTCGGATTAGGCTTCCTAATCTGGACTAGCTGTACTCCTCGTGGAATGAGGAGTACAGCTAGTTTGGATTAGGAAGCCTAATCCGAACTAGCTACTCCGTGCCACGTGTAGCCGCGCGGCATGGGGTTCGAACTGCCGGCATTTAAAAATGGCGCCGGCTGGGCTTATGCAAATGAAGCCCGGGAAATTCAAATCCCGGGCTTCATTTGAAAGTGCGGTATGCCTACATTACCCTCCTAGTTCGAATTAGGAGGGTAGTGTAGACATATCTCTAAGACCAATAGTTACTGAGGGTATGTGGCTCATGTCTATTCCAATGTGTGCACGCGTTGCATGCATGATCATCAAAAGACTTTTCCCTAGCAGTACCTGTTGGCTGTAGCACCCACTGTGGTGACGCCTCATGGTGTCGCACATATACCCCTTCCGACTCGACTCCCGCTTCACTTCCTTCTTGCCAGAACAGTCCAACAGAGTGGAGGTGCTAAGAGATTGGGCACAATCGAGGCCGGAGTCTGCTACAGAACCTTGGTGGTTGTCTGAATGAATTTAATTGGGAGAGTAGCTCACACTGGACTCTCCGGCAAGGACATCTACAATAGGGTTTGTCTCCTCCACCACCTTCTCTGCAGGCTAAGATTTTGGGCCACCTGCTGAAAAAGGTCCTGGTGCACCCAAGAACCTATAAACAGAGGAGACAAGGACATGCTCACTACTGCCTTGTCTTGGGGACTACAATGATAATATCTTTATTAATGACCTGGATGAGGGGATGGATTGCACCCTCAGCAAGTTTGCGGATGACATAAACTAGGGGGCGAGGTAGATACGCTTAAGGGCAGAGATAGGGTCCAGAGTGACTTAGACAAATTGGAGGATTGGGCCACAAGAAATCTGATGAGGTTCAACAAGGACAAGTGTAGAGTCCTGCAGTTGGGACAGAAGAATCCCAAGCATAGTTACAAGCTGGGGACCAACCAGCTAAGTAGTAGTTCTGCAGAAAAGGACCTGGGGGTTACAGTGGATGAGCAGCTGGATATGAGTCAACAGTGTGCCCTTGTAGCCAAGAAGGCTAATGGCATATTAGGTTGCATTAAGAGGAGCACTGCCAGCAGATCTAGAGATGTCATTATTCCCCTTTATTTGGCTTTGGTGAGGCCGCATCTGGAATATTGTGTCCAGTTCTGGGCCCCCCACTACAAAAAGGATGTGGACACATTGGAGAGGGTCCAGCGGAGGGCAACCAAAATCATTAGGGGGCTGGAGCATATGACTTATGAGGAGAGGCTGGGGGAGATGGGCCTGTTTAATCTGCAGAAGCGAAGAGTGAGGGGGGATTTGATAGCAGCCTTCAACTTCCTGAAGGGAGGTTCCAAAGAGGATGGAGAGAGGCTGTTCTCAGTGGTGACAGATGGTAGAACAAGGAGCAATGGTCTCAAGTTGTGGTGGGAAAGGTCCAGGGTGGATATTAGGAAAAACTATTTCACTAGGAGGGTGGGGAAGCACTGGAATGGGTTCCCTAGGGAAGTAGTGGAGTCTCCGTCCCTAGAGGTGTTTAAGTCTCAGCTTGACAAAGCCCTGGCTGGGTTGCTTTAGTTGGAATTGGTCCTGCCTAGCGCAGGGGGCTGGACTTGATGACCTTCTGAGGTTTCTTCCAGCTCTATGGTTCTATAATGATGCCACTGGGAGTGGAGGAGTCTCCTGTGTCAGTGAGTCCTCCACAACTTCTGCCTCTTATGGTTGGCCAAGTGCACCTGGTCGCCGAGCCTGGCTTGCGCCTCTGGCACCGAAGAGGGGGTGGCGTCAAAGATGCAAGTGATGGTGCTGCCCAAGCTGATGGTGCCACGGAAGCAGCCCCAGCCCTTGGCTTTGGAGGTACACCCATGGAGTCCAAAAGGGCCCTTGAATTGGCACCTACCACTGAGGGGGCCAAGACTGCGCCAGCACCGATGAGCCGTATTGATGTTGGTGCCAAGAACAAAAGCTGTACCTAAAGCTCCAAGACAAAGGAAACGTCTGAACCCAATGCATAGTCTGACACCAACCAGGGGGAACAGAGCCCAACGGTGCCAGCAAAGAGTGTCTGAACAAGCTCCTGTGCTGGCTGATAGCCAAGGGCTTGCTGCGGTGTCTGTGTTGGCAGCACCGAAAAGGGGCCTGGTGCCGGGGGAGCCATAGCGGGAGCCACACACAGCACTGTGGGAACAGTCACTGGTGCTGGTGGCGTGATAGCCTGCGATACCCTGGATGTCAATGTGGCAGCAAGCATAGACTCTGGTGCTGAGGCAGGACCAGGAGGCAGTGCTGGGTTGGTGTCACTGTTGTCACCAGTGGCCGCCTGCAGATGGCAGTGCTGTTCAAGCAACCTCGGTATCGTAAACTCAGTGAGGTCCTGCACAACCTCAAAAAGGCGTCCAGCGTAGAGAGCAGGTCCAGGACCTCCACCACAGGCTCTGGAGAGTCCACCAATACCAGACTCAATGACCCTACCCTGGGAACCAGAGTCAATGGTGCTGGGGCCAAGGTGCCTGGCTTGGACAGACTTGGCACCACGTGGGCAGCCTCCAGGGCCTTGCTAGACCTCCTGGAGGGAGAGCAGTCCCCATCAAGCATCATCTGAAGCACCAACAAGTGCAAATGGTGCCGTGAAGGAGCCTGTCCTATGCGGGGGAGATTGGTGCCAGTGATCCCGCTGTTGTTCCTGACGCGTTGCTGAAGCCTCCCACAGCAAGGCTGGCGCGCTTTGCACCGAGGGAATCAAAGCTGTATCATGTGAGCACACTCCATCAGAAGAAGTTTAAGTTGCTGATCCCTCTTGCATTTAGTCCGCAGCTTAAACCCCTTGCTAAAACTGCACTTATCTTGTTGGGGGCCTTCTCCAAAGCACTGTAAACATGCAGCATGCAGGTCACCTCTGGGCATAGGCTTCCTGCACTTAGCACATTGTTTAAAGCCTTGGAGCTGCTGCATGCTCCATGGGGCTTCAGCTAGCAAGCTGAGAACCACTAACTAACTACATGAATGGAGAACAACTCTCTCTACACTACAAAGAACTTGTGAAAACGAAGCACAAGGGAAGAACTACTTGCTAAGCACCAAGTCAGACGTTCCAAGGACATCACTGGCGGAAAGGAGGAACTGAAGCGGGAGCTGGGTCGGACAGAGTATATGCACGTCACCAGGAGAAGTCACCACAGGTACAGCTGACCTGACAGTTACCCCTAGGGAAAAGTCTTTTCATGCACACAGCATGTGCCCACATATTGAAATGCACAAAAGCAATCACTCGAAGAAGAATCCATGTTCCCTCCAGCATTTTGCATACGGCAGGCAATTTCCCACAATCCCCTCTATCTTTGCTAGGCAGAGTGGCCCTTGGCCCTTACTTCACAAACCCCCCAATGTCTCCTTATGTACTCGAGTCCAGCAATGGCAATGCAAAATGTACCTATGTGCATGTCTAATCCCTCGAACTGGTGCCAGGTCTCCCATCAGGATCTTTAACATAGTTGACTTGCCAGCTCCATTCTCTCCCACCTGGACAAAGAAGCAAATGATGAGACAAGGTCCTACAGGGACAGCTCTGGGGCCACTATGCCTAGGGGGATTCCTTTCCTCATCTAAGGTTAGACAGGATTTTGGGGGTTGGAAGTACAAGTGACCATTACCACTGTCCAGGGCTCTCCTTTACACCAAGGGGGCTAGTTATAGGAAAGCCAATACTGAAATAATTCAAGGAGCGTCCCAGCCCCAGCTAGCCACAAAAGGGCTACTTGCCACACTCCAGTTGTGATCCCCTTGTACGGCATCTGCCCTAACCACCCAAATCCTACTTTGAGGGCTTGCCAGGTCTCTCCAAAGTGTCCTATTGCACCCCCCCGTCCCAGCTGGAAGACCATGTCTCCAGTACATACCACACAGATCCGGGACTCCAGGTCGGCTGAAACAGAGAGGCCCCGAAAGACACAGTGACTTGGGCTGTAGCTGAAATCCACTTCATCCAGCTGCAGGATTGGGGGAGAGAATTTCTCAAAGCCATCAGGGAACCTATAAGAGAGGGAGAAGGCCCAGTGAGGTAAGCACAAGGAGACAGGGGAGAGATGCCTAGAAAAGCACCCTAAGTAGAGGAATACCTGCAAGCCATACAAAGCGAGGGAAGGCAGGCAGGATGTGGCTTCACTTACTCCACCCCTGCCGTCCTCGGTCTTCTGAGTTAGGGAATGAGTTTCTCAAAGCCATCAGGGAACCTATAAGAGAGGGAGAAGGCCCAGTGAGGTAAGCACAAGGAGACAGGGGAGAGATGCCTAGAAAAGCACCCTAAGTAGAGGAATACCTGCAAGCCATACAAAGCGAGGGAAGGCAGGCAGGATGTGGCTTCACTTACTCCACCCCTGCCGTCCTCGGTCTTCTGAGTTAGGGAATGAGTTCAGCACAGAGTCACACCTGCCAGTCACGTGCACCCATCACAGCTGTATGAGGCCCTTCCCAGGAGCTGGATCCAGGCCAGCCCGCCTCCCCCCCTACTCCCCGCCCCCGCAAGAGAATAATGTGAGTGAACCAAGAAAACAATAGGCTGTGTGCACATGCCTAGGCGTGATACCATGGGAAGCAGAGAGGATGGCAAGCCAAGGAAATGGCACCAGCTTCTGCAGCCGTGACAGTGCCTTGCTGAGCCATGTTTTACAGAGCACTCCCAATAACAGGACCTGGGAGAGACAAAGCTGTGGAGCTCAAGCTGCCAGTCACCAGTACAGGGAACAGGCTACCAGTTCCTCACCACAGGGATCAGTGGTCACTTACTTCATCATCACTTCAGACTCCTTGTCTACAGGTTTCAGCTCCGGCCTAGGAGAAGGAGCAACTTGTCACTGTGAGCTGGGATGGATATTAATGCACCAGGATTATGCCCCCTCCCCATACAAGTCCCAGGGATGTAGTCAGGGATTTGTGCCTTGGGCAAGGGGCTGAGTATATCAGTGACATCACCAGCCAATTAGGGTACAACTCTGAGAAGAATGGCCTCAGAGCCAGGATGGGAAGCAAAGAAAAGATGGATCCATAGGGAGCTAACTTTACTGGTCAAGTGACCCCCTCCAGACATAGGGCCTGCTCATTTTTTGGTTAGTCTAAGATGAGCCATTCCAGGGCTCAGAGCAATGCCCCAGCCCTGCTAGCTTAGAGAAGCTCCACTGTGTTTCAGGCCCATGTGGAAGTGCAGGAAGGGTCTCAAAACCCTCTAATTCCTCCAGTAAGATTGGTGCTTTACACCAAAAGCGAGGGTAAATCTGCCACCTGGCCAAGCGGCACAGTTTAACGGCATGACACAGACTCAGCCTCTCCTCCAACATGCCCCTGCTTCCCCTCCTCTCAGGCCCGAGCACTTACAGCTTCTCCAGCAGCTTCAGTTTGCTCTGCACTTGGGAGGCCCGGTTTGCATTATAGCGAAATCGATCAATGAACACCTAGGAGAGAGAGAGAGAACAGGTCCCACTTAAGAGCCTGCCCTCCTACAATGGGAGCTGAACTGTCAGCCAAATCCCCCTCTGAAGCCAGAGCAATAGAGAGGATGTAGAGCAGCCCAAGAACAGTCTATGGCTGTCGGTACGAAGGACTAGAGATACCCCCTCTTAAGTTAGCCCAGAGTAAGAGTGGTAGGCCCATGAGCCACTCCCCTCCCACCCCAAACTCCGATTGTTCCCAACTCTCCCGGCAACTGCTACCGCCATGCTGCAGGGGAACAAGTTCTATAAACTGCGCCACCAACAGAGGGCCTCACAGGATGGTACACTGCCGCTCCGCTCACATCCACGATACCCCATCACCTCTGTACCTGGATATGCTCCCGGTACTGCTGCTGGGCCTCGTACTCGCGTTGCTGGTTCTTCAGCCGCTCCTCCTTGATCTTCATGAAGTTCTCAAAGTTGCCCCGGTAGGTGTTGAGCCGCTGCGAGTGCAGGTGGATGATGTCAGTGGCCACAGCATTCAGGAAGTTCCGGTCGTGGGACACTACCAGGATAGTTGACTGCCAAGTCTAAAAGAGACAGCAGCAGGGAGGTCTGAGCCAGGGTATGAATGGACTACAGGGGAGCCTCACCCAGTCAATGGGGGCCTATGTCCCACACCTCCTGCCTATCAAACCATGAGGCACCAGTGAGTTATCTCCGCTCCAAGGCTACGTCTACACTGGCATGATTTTCCGAAAATGCTTTTAACAGAAAAGTTTTCTGTTAAAAGCATTTTCGGAAACGCATGTCTAGATTGGCAGGATGCTTGTCCGCAAAAGCACTTTTTGCGGAAAAGCATCCGTGGCCAATCTAGACACGGTTTTCCGCAAAAAAGCCCCGATCGCCATTTTCACCATCGGGGCTTTTTTGCGGAAAACAATACTATGCTGTCTACACTGGCCCTTTCGCGCAAAAGTCTTTCGGAAAAAGACTTTTGCCCGAACGGGAGCAGCATAGTATTTCCGGAAAAGCACTGATGATTTTACATTAGATCGTCAGTGCTTTTCCGGAAATTCAAGCGGCCAGTGTAGACAGCTGGCAAGTTTTTCCGCAAAATCAGATGATTTTGCGGAAAAACTTGCCAGTCTAGACACAGCCCAAGGGTGTAAAACCAAAGAACCAGGATCGAGCCTCCAGTGATTTTAGACAGCAGCTCTCCAAATCCTCACCTACCTGCAGATAGTTCTCTAGCCACAGAATGGCCCTTACATCCAGCATGTTAGTAGGCTCTGAAAGAGAACAGAGAACAGGGGTGTAGCCCTCATAAAGGATGACAAGCACCAATCTCGTAAGTACATGCAAAGCTACCACTTGCTCCAGATAGGAACAGGACCTACATTAGAAAGGAGAAAGGACTGCTACAGTACTGCCCAGAGAATCATGGGAGCAGCGTACTGAGTACTGCATATACCCATAGGAGAATCCCTGCCTTAAAGAACTCACAGTTCAATGTAGGACCAGATGCATCAAGTGGATCCAAAAACAGTTAATGGGACCCTGCTGACATCTACCTTGCACAACTAGCAGGTTTCAAGGCTTCTTGGTTAATAACTTCTTGTAGTAGGGTCACCAATGTAGTAGGTCAGGATTTACTGTCATGGTGTCCTGACAAGTCTCGTGCTCCATCAATTATGATAACCAGAAAGCTACGTGTGCTCAATGATGTGTGCCGTGTCGACTTGCACAATTAGAGCCCCCCAAAGACCACAAATCAGATAAGGATCGAAGGTGCCCGACCAAGTTTATTGTTAAGCGAAGTACTGCCATAGTTATCAGTAGATTCTACTCAACCACTATGCACATGTACCCCTAACAATGGACTCGCTCAATCAGTGGGAGGTCCCACTGCCCCCTTAGCTGGACAAAGACTGTCCCCCCCCATGACACCACTTTATATACAGGTACAAACAAGTTACACATCACTCCTGACGTGTCAGGTTGCCACACTGATGCTGCTTAGATACTATACTAAGATGAAGGCCTAAAACAAAAGCCCATGTAACACAGGGCTGAGCTGATGCCTGAGGCATAGCTAACAATGGACAAAACATGGCTAACAGAAAGCAAAGCTAAGCTGTGAGCAAGAGGCAGGCCCCTGATAACAGAACTTGGCACGATCAGGGCTGAGAGTGTAAAACACTAATTGGTAATCGGCCCAAGTGTAGAACAGTAACTGATAGTAGGCATAAGTTGAAAGCACATGGTATCACCAGCTCCTTAAAAAAGACCTTGGTACCCACACTTCCCACAGATACCAACCCAGGTTCAGGAAAGGGTCTAAACTGACAGCATGATGGATAGAGATGTTCAAATTGAACCCCAAGGTGCAGGGTGATGGATGCTATCTAGATAGCACCAGAGCGTGGTAACCTGACACGTCAGCCGTGATGTGTAAGTTGTTAGTAGGTGTATATAAAGTGGTGTCATGGGGGGGGAGGGGAGGGGACGACAGTCTTTGGATGACCTAAGGGGCAATGGCAATTTCCCACTGACTGAGTCATTCCATTGTTAGGGGTACATGTGCGTAGTGGTTCAGTAGAGTCTACTGATAGCTATGACTGTACTTTGCTTAACAATAACCCTGCCCAGACACCTTCGATCCTGATTTGTGGTCTTTGGGGGGCTCTCTCAGAGTCTGCTTTGTTAACTAATTGGGCAAGTCGACAAGACACACATCATTGAGCACCTGCACTTCTGGTTATCATCGACGGAGCCAGAGACCTCCAAGGGCACCTTGGCAGTAAATCCCGACCTCCTCCTGAATAACTGCAGATACCACCCATCACCCTGCACCTCGTGGTTTGATTAGATCTTCTCTGTCCATCATGCAGTCAGTTTAGACCCTTTCCTGAACCCGGGCTGGTATCTGTGAGGAGCATGGGTACCAAGGTCTTTTTTAATGAGCTGGTGTTACCATCCTTTTGGAATGGGCTTTCAACTTGTGACCAGTACTAATTACTGTTTTACACTCTCAGCCCTGTTCGTGCCAAGTTCTGTGAGCCTCTTGATCACAGTTTTGCTTTATATTAGCCAAGGGTTCCCCATTGTTAGCTAGGCCTCAAACCAGACTTGTGCTACATGGGCTTGTGTTTCAGGCCTTCATCTTACTACAATACTAATGCTCTCACAGCTCTGCACAAACCAACACATGCCCCAGAGAAATAACCCCAGAGCGGAAGAACTTTCCCGTGACTCAAGACAGATGAGCGAGAAATGTATGTGCACAGAGTGCTATAGGAGCAATCCTCACAGTAGCACTGTATGGTGCCAGGGAGGCTGTGCTGCAGGGCGGGCACTCTCCCCTCTAAGCCATTACTGACCCCCTTTCCACTGTGGCAAGGGGCCACTGTGCTGACACACAAGGGTGTATCTGAGGCCCACAGAGTTGGGTGTTAATCCCAGAGTCCTGGCCAGACCAACTTGGAGAGCTGCATTCTGCCTCATTTCTCCTGGGAAAGGGATTCAACCATTCCACCATGGTGGCTTTGCTATTTGCTGGGAACCTGGTTCCGCTCCTGACACTGGGGAAGAGATTATTCCAGGGAGAATGCTGCAGCAGAGCCATTCTGGGACTTCTGTAGCCCAGTTACTAAGTGAGCCATCCACATTAAGTGCTCTACCGCCAGGGTTCCCCCATCCTGCCAGAACTCTGGCCTTCTCCCACACAGAGATCACCAAGCCAAGCAAGTCCAATGGCCAGAAAAAGAGGGCAGGATAAGCTATTTGACTTCCTTAGATGTCTGGACTCCTGTGCTGAGCCAGTATACAGGGGATCTCAGTGCGCCAAGGCATCTCCAGCTCTAGAAGCTGTGCGTTAACTCTGGATATGCAGCCAAAAAGCTGTTTTCCAGCAAGGACATTCCCCAGGGCAACAGAGACCTGCCCCAGGGCAACAGTTCAGACATGAGAAGGGACCCATGGCATTCACTTACCATCAAGCAGAAGAAGATCTGGCCTGCGACACACAAACAGGAGAGGGAGAGCAAGGGGAAGGGAGAGAGAGCAGTTAATACTGGCCATCTGTTTCGACAGGAGACGATCTACTGTAAGATTGTTTTAATTCAATTATTTGTTACACCGTCCCCCGCTGCGAGAGGCTGGGATCAGCATAAATGGGCACTTCCCCCACAGCCAGCATTGCCAGCAAGGGAGCAGGGCAGAGTCAGTGTGAGCTAACCCCAAGGCAGCTCCTGGGCTCTGCCAACACCGAGTCACATGTGCTTTAACAGAGTGCAGTACAGGCACCCCCACTGTAAGTCACCCCGGTATTCATCCATTCTGCACTAAAATTGTCGACGCTTGTAGGAACCGGTGCGTTATAAGTCCTCCCATTCCCCACTCCCAAGCTGCGCAAAAAATAAAAATTAAATTAATTTGCACAAATGGAAGTCAGCCACGGGGAAAAAATCCCCCCCTTTTAAGTTGTTTCGCTATAAATCCAAGTTTTTTGGAACGGATCTTGGACTTATTGCGAGGATGGCCTACGAGATCAAATACAGACCATATTACGACCTACCTGGCAAAAAGGGCTCTGGCTAAGGCCAACCTCATTCTCCAGCCCCCGGAAAACTCTCTGGGGAGAGAAAAAGCCACACACAGGAAGCTGCATCAGACTGCAACACAAAATCACCGTAACTTAGCTCATCCACAATAAATCCTCACCCTGTCCTCTCACCCCATACCTCCATCATGCCAGAGCTCACCACCACCTGGGGAAGGAGGTACCCTTAACACTCTGCAGTCATCCCAGAAAGCTTGGCACTGCAAAAGGTGAGCTACAGCAGGCCCTGGCTCAGAAGTTGAAAGTGGCAGCAAAAATTCACTGTCATTTGCCGGTTGCAGAGCTGGACAGTAGCATCCCTTGTTGCTGGGTTACTCTATGTCCCGCCATGTGTGCACCAGCCAAGTCTTTCAAAAGAGTATGCCAGCTGCTGTCACACCTGCTCCATGCTACCCCCACGACAACAGCAAGAGGGATGCCAGAAACCCACAGAGCACCTGGCACTGCCCAGCACTCAGTGTGATGTCTCTAATCTGGCAGGAGATAGCTCAGTCCCCTCTGTGCCCCATGCCTAGGGCAGGGAGGAATCTACCCAAGCACAGACCAGAGGCGACTTACTTGGTTGTCTGTTGCTGCATTTTTGCGTTGAAGCCCAGCCCAGCAAGAATGACAGATGCCCTGTAGGGAAGAGGAGAGTCAGGATGCTGAAAACCACTCGACAGCAACGTGTATGCCTGCAGCAAGGGGCTCACAATTCAAGACCCAGGATACAAATACTGCCCTGGAGACTACTGCAGTTTTGAAAGGATGCTGCAAGATTCAGGGCCCAGCAGAAACCATCTCCTGCCCAACAGCAGCAACCACGCTGGGCATCCCAGCTCTCCGACACAGGATGGTTTTGACATGACAGTCTGGGGTTTGAAATCAGACACTGACTCAAACTCTTTGGCCCAGAGCCAAACAAGTGCAGCTCTGGCTCTCCGGACAAAACGTTCAGTCTCCACCACCACCAGACACGGAAACATCTCCCAGCTGGGAGGTGTCAGCGGCTACATAGAACACCATAAGTCTAGTCACTAGAGGGTAAGAAAGCCTGACTTTTCCACAAGTCTCTGGGGAGCTTCCAGCTCTGTCCTAACCTCTCCCAGCTGCACAGAATAAGGAGCAAGGGTCACAAGAACCTACTCATTTGTTAGATTCCATAGCCTGGTAAGGACACTCTGCAGATAAAGAGTACATGCCTTTAATCCCAAAGTCAGAGTCCACAATCTGCATACCCATATCTTAATCAGATACCACTCCTAACAGCTGCAGAGAGCCAAGGGCCATCCCCATGGCTGGCTCAGAAAGGGGGCTCATCTTACCTGGCTGGTGCCTTGTCTGCCTCTATCTCTTCCAGCTTGACATAGATTTCCGAAAGTCTGTCACCTTCTGTGCCTTGTCCCCTGGTAGGAGACACAAGGGCAGCATGGGGAATTCTTGCAAGGTCAGGGCTTAAAAACCAGCTCTCTCAGGTGCGTGCATCTGGGCTGGGAAAGAAGGCAAGCAGGGAGGCTCATCTAAGCGGAACTCAAGCTCCTGGGGCATGCAGTCCATTGCTACTGAGCTTTAGTCTGAATAAGATCAGTCCCAGGAAGGAGAGAAGGGGAGCAGAACCCAGGCAAAGCCGCTAGCAGACCCTAGAGCTCAATTTCAGTGCTATCCACAACGTGGTGGGAGAAAGCACTGGTCTCTCAGGGACATTAGGCTCAGGCACTGGGAGCAGGACCATAAGCCCGGCCTCAGACAAGGCCCTCAACCCAGGACATGATCTACATGGCAGTGTCTCACTTGCCAGCGTTGATCCTGGCCGTCAGCTCCCTTTCCTCCTGCAGCAGGCTCTCCCGGGTGGTGTCGCACTCCAACACGCTCTGCAGGGCTGGCGTCTCATCCCCTGCCACCTCCTGCTCCACGTGGAGGATGCTGATGTGTGAGGGGATGCGTAGGCTGCGGCTGGCAATCATCTTCAGCAGGGTGGTCTTGCCCAGCCCATTCCTGCCCACCAACCCATAGCGTCGGCCAAACGCCAGGTTCAGGTCTGTGCCCGTTAGCAAGACTCTATGGCAAGGAAACAGACCAGTATCTGCTAAGCCTGACAGCTCACCTACAAGGACATTGAAGCACCCAGCAGCAGCTTTCCCACCAGATGTGAGGTTTTGCTTGGAACTCATTTAGTCTTCATGAAAGCTGCTGCCCAAAGCCAGAGAGAGAGCAAGCTCCCACAGTGGTACTTAATCCTGACCTGTGGCTAATCCAGCCAGGCTGCCCCACAATCCTGTCCCACCAACTCCCCCATTTTCAGGCTCCTCCCCACATGGCAGCCACCACATGTCAATCTTTATCCATTTCATCCCCTCCTAGTCCAACCTTCCATGGTCCTTCCCACCCCTGCAGGACTCACCGCTCACCGAAGGACACGTCAAAGTTCTCAATGCGCACATCATACGACTTGTTCTTGCCCGATGACTCCATGCGAGTCTCCTTCTTGCTGGACACCTGGCTAGCAGATGCCTCCTCCAGGACCCTGTGAGTAACCATGAAAGAAAGCAGAGCTTTAGTGTGAGGCAGTCCCAGAGCACCTCAGGCTCCCCACAGAGCCACACTCAGTGTGGTCAGAGCCTGCCCTCCAGCCACATGCCAGGCTACCATCAGAGCCTGCCCTTTAGGCCTCCCTGAACACTCACAGTAGGTCAGCAGGGTTCAGGGAATCCCTCTCGGTCCTCTTGGTCTGCTTGGCCTTTAGTCTGGCTTCTGCCTTTGCCAACTTCTTGGCATTCACCATCTGGGACACGAGGAAGGGAATTTAGAAAAGAGCAAGAATGACCATCAGGGGCTTGAAGCAATTGACTGTGAGGGGGAAGAGCCCAGTTTGGAGGGTAAATCCCTAATGGGTGGACATTTCCAGGAGGAAGGGTCACTTATTTAGGTGGGACACCAGGATGTGTCTAAGAGGCTGCAGATGGGATTAAAGGGTATTTTAGGGACATAGCTCTAGTGGGGAGCTGTTGGACAAATCCTTGAAGATTTCATTGTCTGTGGGGAACAATCTTACCCTGGGATGACAGGGCGTAGACTAGATGCGATTTAAACTTTTGCTCTTCCACCATGTCTCATTTTTATTATTCTAGGAACCTAGCAAGGAGTCCCTTGGCTCTTCTGTCAGTTCATTGTCTCTAACACTCCTTCCCCATCCCCATTGCATGCAGACCCCAAAACCAGCCCACCCTCCCAATTAACCATCTGAGTTTCCCAGTAAGATCAGTCTTCGGCAGATAGATACTAGACCCTGCTACATGCCTAGTACATCCAGCTATAACTCCAGTATTTAATATAATCATAGATTTTTTAAGTACTGTCCTAAATTATCTCCTGCTTTCAGTCAGATAGCTGTGGATGAACTAGTGCATCTCTTTTAGAAAAATTAGCTCTAATCTGAAAACGTCTACAGGTTGAACCTCTCTAGTCTGGCACCATACATTGTCTAGCATGATTTTAATTAGCCAGATGTCCATTTATCAGGGGTGTGGCCAAGTTTCCTGCGGTCCCATAAAGTTTGTTTACAGCCACCAGTCCAGGCTCTCCATGCTCTGTGTTATTTAGTTCTAATTTACCCCTAAATGTCTTCTAAGAGCACAGTAAGCAAGTGTTGGTAATGCTACTAGACAATAATGACTTCCAGTGGTTCAGCAAATTTCTCTGCTTTGGTGCCAGGCAGGTCCCGATGATGCTAGACGAGAGAGATTCAGCCTGTAGTTGCAATTTCCAGCCTTTGAATCTTGCTATTCACCTATGTCCGCTAAACTGAAGAGTCACCATCCAATCTGTTCCCCATGTATATACTTCTAAGCGGTCATCAAGTCACCCTTTAACCTCCTCTTCGTTAAGCTAAACACAATGATCATGATAAGGCAAGTTTTCCTCTTTAATCATTTGCATGGCTCTTCTCTCAGTCCTCTCAAATCTATCAGCTCCCTAGCTGAACTGAATTGGCATTAGCAATTCCACTCCTGGTGCATCAGTGCCAAACACAGCAGCAATGTCACCTTCCAGCTCCAGAGACTCCTGTTTATACATCTAAGGATCACATTAGGCCTTCTGACCACAGCATCACAGTGGAAGCTCACATTCAGTATTATCCTCTATGAATTCAAAGTCCCCTCCCCCTGTAAGTAGGGCCTATATTTTTTGTTGCTAGATATATAATTTCACATTTGGTGGTACTAAACACAACTGCACCCAACACACCAGTGATCCAGATTGCTCTGTCAGCCACCGATCCTCTTCCTTTTTACTATTTCCCCCTCATTTGTGTGTCATTTACAGATTTTTTTAATCTCTTAACAATTTTATGTTTTCTTACAGGCAATTGACAAAAATATTAAAGGCATATAACTGATCCCTGTGAGAGACCACGAGAAACAGACTGGCTTAATAAGAGTCCCCATTTGAGACCGACCTTTAATTCAGTTAATGCACATATTATATGTGCATTGTTATATTGATCTAGGGTTTTTTCCCCAAATCAAAACATGATACCAAGTCATAACCTTGAAGAAGTCAAAGTTAATATCAGCGTTGACACAATATATTTAAGCAACCAAACTCTTATTTAATCAAAAAGTGATATGTTAGGTGACAGAATCTATTTTCCATAAACACCTGTTGACTGGTATTACCTTTCTAATACTTAACTGAGTCCCCTATCAACTATTCCACTATTTTATCCAGGATCAATGTCAAACTCATAGCTCTACAATTATCTGGTCTATTTACCAGACCAAAAACTCCCATACATTAAAATGACTGCATGAACAGACAGAAAGCAAGGTCATCCTATAGTCTAGAGCAGGGGTGGGCAATAATTTTTGAGCAGGGGCCACATCAAAACAATTTTTAAGTGGTCACAGGCTGCTCCAAAAGGGTCGGGGTCTCGGATGGAAGGGGCGGAGCCTTTAAATAGCTGGAGTTGAAAGGGCTCACGCCTCTCCTGTAGCTCCCAGGCATCAGGTTAGCCATAGATGGGAGCTGCAAGCTCTTTCAGTTCCTGCTATTGAAAGGGCTTGCTGCTCCTGGCCTCGCTGCTAGCGTGTTGCTTGGGAGCCGGGAACACACAGGTCCTTTCAATTGCTTCTGTTTAAAAGGCTCTTGCCTTCCCTGGGGCTATTGCTTGCCAGCCATGGGAAAGGCAGGAAGCTTTTAAATAAAAGCAGTTGAAAGGGTTTGCGTGTCCCTGGCTTCCAGACAATGGGCTAACATGGGGCTGGAGCTGCGAACCCTTTCAATTGCTTCTGTTTAAAGGGCTTGCACCTACCGGGTGACGGGGCCTGAACCCAGCCCGCTGAATGGCTTTTGCCCATCGCTGCTCTAGAAAGAAGGCCACATTCCCCAGCTTGCTGCGTAGGTGAATGTGTAAGAAATGGGAAGGCAAGGGCATTCTTAGCATCTTGAGCAATGCAGCAAACAGGCTAGTAAGAGCATGAGCTGGTAACAGCATTTCCCACTTACTGAGGTCTGGCCTCTCTTCAGCAAGAGCTTTGGAAAGAGGTCCAAGCCAGAATCTGCAATGAACAAGAAAGGCAGTCACACTCGGCCCCTCTCTCCAGCACCTTCTGCCAGGCAAGCTCAGTGCTTAATTCAAATCTACCCACTCCCTGGCAGGAAAGTTAATAACCTGTTTTACAATTGGACAGAGGTGAAATGACTAACCCAAGATCACATGGCAAGGGAGAGGCAGCGCTGAAAAGAGAATTTAAGTCTTTATTCCTAGCCCTGTTCTTGCCATTAGAGCTCACTGTCTGAAAGACCACCAGTATGCAGAATCAGCTCCTCTGCATTCCAGGGAGGGAGTGCCATTCCAATCCATCAACCTCATAATTTATAAACTTCCCACCAATATGGTTCTACAATTGATAGCCGCAGATAAGATGGGAGACTGTTCAGTCAGCTGAGCAGCTCAGGCATCAAAGGAGGATTCCCTAGGAGCAAGGGCTGCTCAGTATTTATTACTCACCATAGCTGTCTGTAACCTTGGAAAGTTGAATTGGCGCATCTAGCAGCACCTTGCTGCACCCCTGAGAGTTCTCGTCATCTCTGTAACACACAGAAGAATCAAGGAGTAAAGGTACCACGATACACTCCCATTCCTGCAACATTCCCATCTGCCACACACCACCCCAAATAAGTCTCAGATGCTGCCCTAAGTTATTCTGTGTCACCCTGTTTGACATCCTCATTCTGTACACTCCTAATGCTGACACTTTACAGCACAGCTCTAAAGTAAAATGCACATGACAAGACCCAGAGCTCTCCTCGTCTCTCACCACATTGGACTCAGCCCCGTTTACAGGTCTTTGCATAGAGGCCCCAGAGTACTTACAGGTGGAGGGTGTTGAACATCCTCTGGCAGATATCCCGGATGTCCTCATCATCTTTCGAGTCTCTGGACACTTCCTGCAAGAGCTCTCCCACTGCTTCAAAGAGATCATCCACAGACTCAAAATCTTCACTGCCACTGTGCAGGATCCCTGCAAGAGAAGAGAGACAAGCCACTGAGCAACAGGCCCAAAGAATTCCAACCAAAATAACAGCCAGTGTCTCCCCACACCTCCACCATCCTCACAATCCCACTGAACAACAAGGATCATTCTAGGATTTAAGGGAGGGGGCTGACCTCCAGTGCCAATTGAAGAAAGTAGGTAAGAGAGCTATGGGTTCAATTCCAGACTATTCCACAGGCATCCATGTGTAAGTGACCTTGGCCCATATTCTTGCCTACGGGAGGGATAGCTCAGTGGTTTGAGCATTGGCCTGCTAAAGCCAGTGCTGTGAACTCAATCCTTGAGGAGGCCATTTAGGGATCTAGAGCAAGTGTCAGGGATAGTACTTGGTCCTGCTGTGAAAGCAGAGGACTGGACTCGATGACCTTTCAAGGTCCCTTCCAGTCCTAGGAGATAGGTATAGCTCCATTCATTTCTCAACAAGCATGGCCATACTGAGTCAGACCCAAGGTCCATCGAACCCAGTGCCCTGTCTTCTGATAGAGGGCCGAGTGACTAAACAGAACAGGGAATCAAGACATGGCCCATTCCCAGCCCTGACAGAGGCTAGGGACACCATCCCTGATGGACCTAGCCTTATTACTTTATCTAGTTCTTCCTTTGGCAAAGCATTGCACAGGTTGACTGCCTTTTGTGAAGTAGTACTGCCTTTTGTGTTCAACCTAGGACGCCCAGTTGTTGACCCCTCGTTCTTGCGTTATGGGAAGGAGATTTGTGTAGTAGTACTGCCTTTTGTGTCCAACCTAGGACGCCCAGTTGTTGACCCCTCGTTCTTGCGTTATGGGAAGGAGATTTGTGTAGTAGTACTGCCTTTTGTGTCCAACCTAGGACGCCCAGTTGTTGACCCTTCGTTCTTGCGTTATGGGAAGGAGTTTTGTGAAGTAGTACTGCCTTTTGTGTTCAACCTAGGACGCCCAGTTGTTGACCCCTCGTTCTTGCATTATGGGAAGGAGTTTTGTGAAGTAGTACTGCCTTTTGTGTCCAACCTAGGACGCCCAGTTGTTGACCCCTCGTTCTTGCATTATGGGAAGGAGTTTTGTGAAGTAGTACTGCCTTTTGTGTCCAACCTAGGACGCCCAGTTGTTGACCCCTCGTTCTTGCATTATGGGAAGGAGTTTTGTGAAGTAGTACTGCCTTTTGTGTTCAACCTAGGACGCCCAGTTGTTGACCCCTCGTTCTTGCATTATGGGAAGGAGTTTTGTGAAGTAGTACTGCCTTTTGTGTCCAACCTAGGACGCCCAGTTGTTGACCCCTCGTTCTTGCGTTATGGGAAGGAGTTTTGTGAAGTAGTACTGCCTTTTGTGTTCAACCTAGGACGCCCAGTTGTTGACCCCTCGTTCTTGCGTTATGGGAAGGAG